TTGGCACCTTCACACCTTCACAAGCTGCGGGTGTTTAGTGTTTACCCACACGGTGTGCACTGCACACTACGCCTCGGTACCGTCCAGCACACGGCGCGCACAGTACACACACAGACACACACGGAACGCGCGCGGGTTTTGCACGGTAGCGCACCGCTCTGCACCGTTAACGTGACCTCCCGTGGCCCCGCACCGCTCAAAGCGGAGGAATTTTCGCACTTTTGACGAGTGACGGGCGAGACGAGTTGGCCCTAGCGAGGGCTGAGGAATATAAACATACACCCTGTTTGTGAGATGTAGACCCCCCCTTTCCCCCTCCCCTTCCGTCCGCCTCCCTGTTTTTGCAATCCTGTTTTTTCCCCTTACCCTCTCATAATAATCCTCCCCACCCCCCACAACCCCCACCTCCCCTCCAAAAAAGTTCTATAGAACCTGTAAATATGCCATGTAAAAATTGTAAACTCATAACCCCCCCCCCCCCTAAAAATGCTTTAAAAAAGCGCTGTCCCCGTAAGCTACAAGCTGCACAGTATTTTCCCCAGTATTTTTTTTATGTGAAGCCATTTCCCCTGACTCACCATCCCATTACGAGGTGATAACGTATTGTGTACTTTATTGTTATGCATGAGCATGATTCTGTCTCCCCTGAGCTCTGCTGTGCTCAGTGCTCAGACTCAGTATTCTCGCTGCAATAGGTAGATGCTGCTTGCCTGGCTTTTTCCTGGTTGTTTGTGTTTCTGGTATCTAATACTTTCTGGACATGGACATGGGTATTAATTCTGTCTCTCATGGCATCTAATGCATTCATGTCGTACATGAGAATTGTTTCTGTCGTATAGTAGAGCGTTATGCTGATACAAGACGAAACAAAAGATAAGACGAAAATAAAGTGGGTTTTTTGTCTTTCTCCTGAATTTGACAAAAATTCCCTAATAGTTCTGTGCTGCTTCCTCTTTGCGCAGAAATTGGAGGAGATAAGAGGCGAGGGTTGCGGGAGGGTGGGTTGGGGGGAGGGGGGCTTTAAGCTATATAATAATTAAGCTTTTGTTCCAAGAGTTCTTCGTATATCGTATTTAGCTTAAACAGTATTGCTCAAAGTTGTTGCTTCAAAATGCTGTGTTATACACCGCCTTAATTCTATAGTTAAGATGCGTTGTAGATGTATGTACTTCGCGAAACATGCAAGATATTGTGACTAACATTTCAATTCATTTGATGGGTCAACTGTTCAGTCATCTTTGTCTACGTGCTTGAACTATACGCTACTCTTTTCTATATTTTACCTTCTACATTTAATTCTGGCTTATGCACTTCACACACACACTTCACACACACACACACACACACACACACACACACACACACACACACACACACACACACACACCTATGTTAATTGTCAAAACAAGTGCGTTTTTAAAGATGAATTAGCCTATGTTCATCTTTATTTTTTTATTCTTTAATTCATGAAATGATTCGTTGTCCTTCTCTCCATTTTTCACGATTCTGACGAGATACATTAGCCTTCTCTGGTCAGAGTGCTAAAGATTGCTCATGTTGGTGAAGCAAAACAAGCATTTGTCTTGTGGGTGTGCGTTCGTGGTACATGTTTTAAGGAAGGAGAGAGAGAGAGAGGGGGGGGGAGAGAAGAGAGAGAGGAGAGGAAAGGAGAGGGGAGAAAGAGAGAAAGGAGGGAAAGAGGGAGAGGAGGGAAAGAGAGGGTGTTGAGGGTAGAAAGAGAGAAGGCTCAAAAAGGGAGAGACACACACAGAGAGAGGAGGGAGGGAGAGAGAGACTCAGAGAGAGAGGAGGGAGAGAGAGAGAGAGAGAGAGAGAGAGAGAGAGAGAGAGAGAGTTTATCGTGTCTCATTTATTAGTTCAAGTCAAATGTATATTATCATTGCTCCGGGCGAACTCGCCGGCGGCTTGCGTTCTTGAAGTGTTTTCGGCACGAGTTTCCTCTATCAT